CAGTTTTCTTGAACGAAGAAGAGAAAAATGCTAAGAATTTAAAACCGGTCGATCACCGGCCGGTTTGAAAATATTTCTAGACCGGCAAAAGATTGGTGGAGACCGGCCGGTCTAAACTTTTACACCGGACCGGACCGGCCGGTCTGCCGGCCCGGTTCCAACTCTGCAATACACAAGGTCCGCTATTGACAAATGTTTTTCAAGAAGTTTTTGATACCAAAAGTATAGCTTTCAGTCACTTTTTATTGCGTGATAAATCTGTGTTGAAATTAGATAAGGACAAAATAAAAATAATTTTTAACTCGGTTCCATATTATATTGAAACTACAATTGTTTTCGCCCGTCGTGTGTTGTAGCTTCTGCACCACCGAAATGACTACGAGACCCCGTACAGACGTAACCCCCTTTGCACTACACCTCAGGGTTTCTCAATATATCAAACTCTGTACACACCTTCATGTTTCGAAATTGTATCCACTTCATATTTGTATTAAAATTTATGTTGCTTTTATTGTTCTATTCTACTCTATACACTGTAGTTTTTTTCTTCTCTATTTCTCTCCATCTACGATGCTATGTCAGTGTATGTTTTTATTGTATATGAGCGTATGTTTTTGGTATGTACATATGATAATCAACTTTTCTTTTCGACTGTTCTCAACATGATATGGGCCCGCCCTATTTGTTGAATCAAATAAACTATGTTTAGCTCAAACCATCGTCACCTCAAGATAAAATTAAAATATATCGACAGTTGGCAGCGAAAGCATTATCGGATTCCTATCCCCACCTAAACTAGTCTGTTCTATCGCTTACATTATTTACCGTATACCATTCTTTTCGAGCTCGAGATTTTACTGAATCGAACGTTCGAATTTGGCGCATCCGTACTAGTGCGTGTTCATGACTTACAATCTAAAGAACAAATAATTTTAGGTGGGGATAGGGATGCGCCAAACCCGAACGTTCGGGTTAGAACACATCGGGTTTGAGTTTGGAAAGTTTGAGTTCACGTTCGGGTTTGGATCTGCTAGTAAACTAAAACGCACTATTGTTTAAGATTGAACATTCAGCTTTTACAAATATCCCCTACAACTTTCCATGAGCTGAAAAAATGTTTTTCTCTTTCGTCGAACAACAAAAACAAGTCTCAGAATGAACAAATATTCGTAAAAAGAGACACGCTAGACAGATGGTTCTACAGCAAAAGAAAATTCTTTTTGCTCCATTGGCAGGTCTGTATTTTGAATACGTGCGTGATTGTAGAGAAATCAAACGTCACATGATTTCAAAAGACTCTTCCTTCAATTTTCGTTCAATATGTTAAGACAGCGTAAAGCAAAATATGCATAAGTAGATGGTAATTTCTGTCGCGATACAGGTCTAAAGGTGATTTTATCAATATTAGACCAATTCATTTGAAATAACTGTGGTGAATCTATAGACAACGTCACGGTCTTTTTATACAGTTTAACGTTGGAACAATAACCAGTTATATTCAATTGGAAATCGTCGTACTCAATTGAATTAGCTATAAACGAATGCAAAGTAAATGTTTGATAATAATCATAATTTACACTAATTGAAATCGATTCGCCACGTGCATTATATGCAATAATTTGACCATAAGTGTATGCATTTGCAAATCCAGCAGTCTTTTTAGTTTGTTTTGCCCAATTTTCATCAACATATCTAACATTTTTCCAATTGAAACCTTTGTATCTATTTGGTACAAAATCACCATCTTTGTCTCTGGCATTTTCTATATCATCGAATGTGATTGTTTTGACTGATTTTGATACTACAGTAGAAAAATGAAGAGGTAAAACATTTTCAGAAAAAAAAGTCTCTCTATGACTATTAGAAGTACCTTGAACACTATCAAATAATAGTGATATTGGTAATAATTCTGTTGTATCATCAAAAATATTTTTACAGTCTAACCATCGGAATAAAATTGTGTTCATACTGTTCACTGTTTTAACAAGTCTTTGACTATAAACATTTTGTTGTTCTACGTCTTCATATTTAAACATGAATTTGTCCATTGTTGGTGATCGTTCATGACTATATTTAGTTAAACTAGTAACAGACGGTAATGTTAATTGTAACTGGTTTTGCACCGTTGCATCAAACGAACTTGAGTTCTCTTAGATAAACAAGTAAGAAAATTACACGAAAATTTTTCATCTGAATTAAATCACTGATGAGCATAGATCGATTGCTACATTTCTCGAGTTGAGACAACATTGATTTGGAAGGATGTAATATCTGCTTACAAAACTTATTAGGACGTTGAAGGATCGTCAAATAGTTGTATGACCTCTTTTTTATAAGATCGCATGTGTCAATTTCTACTAGGAGAAAATGATCACGATCTGTCTTAAAATACAGAAAGTAGGAAAATATATTTGAAATAAAATCTGGTAGACAAAATAAGGAGTTTTTAAGCGTTTTATTTATGTTTAGATAGCATCTAACTGCATCGATCTTTGTCAAGATAAAACATAAGATTCAGTATTGGTAATATAAAATTAATATTGTGTGAAATATTCAGGGCAAAGATACTTAAATATGACCTAGTAAGATCGTATTGTTAATACCTCGTGACTAATGGAACAAATGATCTAATTTCTTTGATGCTAGCATGTATTTTGTAGATTTTATCATACTATTGACGACACATGACATTTTTAACTTTGAATGCACTTACAACACTAATGCATAAGAATCTAAAAATAATTTCGGCTATCATGTTAAGAATTCTAATATAAGTTTTAATAAAAAATTTTAATAAAAATAAAAATTTTAAAACTAAAACGAACGATTAAAATTACAATTGGTTATTTTGACCTATTGATACGGTCATTTTCAAGTTGCTCTTCGTAGTACAAATGAAAAAACAGTATAACTGACTATATATATCTAATGCTTTATTTGTCTTTTTATTTAAATAGGCACATACACTATCAGAAAGGACTAAGAATTATATACGTATGACACACAGAGGAGGAAGAATAGGAGAGGAGAACGACATATGGTATATGGAGAATTCTGGTTCAAGAGAATGGGTCCGAGACGAGCTCTCAGTCATTTTTTCGTTCATGGATGACAATGACGAGGAGGTCCTTAGGGGCGTCCATTGGCTTTCGGATCCATAACAGTCCCTACTGACTACTTCGCTTCATCGTACGCTGTAGGCAGCGATAATCGAATTTTTCTTACCTAAATGGGAATTTGTCGGAATTTGTTTCCGGTTCACTTTCTTTAAAGGAGGCGTTGTGAGTTGACGTGACTGTTGCGTGGTCATATCTGCAGAATTTGACCTGTAAAATGAAAACAAAATCTAGCATAAGGCTGCCGAAAATATTTTCGAAATGGCTATTGAGAATGCGAAGACAGGCAGTAAGGCGAACCATGTACACTCTCACGATGTGTGCCTGCATGAGATTACGTAGACTGCATGATTAAACTGCACAACTGCCAAACAAAACCAATACACTATATGTATGTGTATTTTGGGAGTCAATATCCTTTTTGCTATTGACAGTCTCACAGGACAATAAACCTATCCAAATACACATATCCCAAAGCGTGATAGCGTTCGATAGCCGGATTCCTTAGCAACATTCTAGAAATAAAAATCTCTTCAAAGCGTGTAGTCTCGGCCACGAAAATTCGACTCTAACTCTCAGACATCTGATTTTTTTTGAAGAAAAATGAAAATATCGCGTGCGTGAGAACGTCTAAAAACCGTTTTGAACACACCACCAGAAAGAGCACACACTCATTTTAGAAATAAAATGGCAAGTTTTTTGAAATTACTGTACGCACAGGATTTTCTTAATCTGGTTCTGTCTCTCATCCAAAAACCTTTTCTTATGTAGGATTGTAGAAGAGAGTCGACTCTTCATAACGGAGTCCGCTCCAGTCATTGATCAGATTTCTTTCAAAAGATAACGACAATTTATTCCAAGATATAAGAGAAAAATCTGATGACACAACGCATGGTGCTGACATTTTTTATCATTTTTTCGTGACCTAACTATGTGTTCTGTCTTTTAACCGTGCCATACTATATATCATTTTTTATTCTACCGAAAACTTGAAATTGTTGAAAAATGACGAAACATTTTTCTTTCGAAAAGCGTGAACCATCATCTATTGTGTCATCAGATTTTTCGCTTATACCTTGGGATGAATTACCTGTGTCTTTTGAAAGAAATCTCATCAAGGGCTAGAGAGGACTCCATTTTGAAGAGTCGACTCTGTGCTACACTCCTGCACAAGAAAAACATTTTTGGATGAGAAACTAAGAGATAGAGCCGGATTAAAAAATTCTTGCGCAGACACTAATTCTAAAAAACATTAAATTTCTAGTT